GCTCAAACACCAAAGGATGATCTCTTCTAGCTCTTGTGATAATTTCTTCACAAACTTAAAACAAATACTAAACAAACTTTAAACACCCTTTAAACTTGTTCAGAAACTTTCTTGATTGCTTTAGAATGTTAAAGGGCAATGGATATATATAGGATCAAGAAACAAAGCCCAAAACTCAAGTGAAATCCAACAAAAAGACAAAAATAATGGAAACAAAAAAAATAGTCGTTAATGTCGTCGGTCGACTGATCAGTCGACTGATGAGCGTTACGTTATAGGTATTTTCCAGCTCATCAGTCGACTGACGATATTTATCAGTCGACTGATGGATCATCAGTCGACTGGTCAGTCAACCAAAATAAAACAGAAATTTTTTGACATTCCAAGTGTTTTCTTCAGTCGACTGAACACATTCATCAGTCGACTGAACACATTCATCAGTCGACTGATAACACTGTATCAGCCTGATTGAAACAGAAAATCTGATTTTTAAACTGCCTTTAAAAATAGCAAACAAATTCAAAAAAATATAAAACTTTGGGAAATGATTGTAGGCATGATAATACACATGTTATAAAAATTGCTTTTCAAAAATTATCTCCCATTTGTAAAATATCATCATTTTACAAATATGTCCAAAACATAAAAATATAAAAACACATGTTTTTGATATTTTAGCTAAACCATGTTTTGAAACTTTACAAAATGGTTTTATAGACTTAATAAAAGATATAAACTATTGTTGTTAAGTGTATAAACTAAAAACTCAATATTATGTAAAAATAAAGTTTTGCACAATATGCATTTGACAAAATGATAAATATGAAACATGTATATATATATATATGTAAACAATAATATAGATTTCATATTTATATAAACTTGTAAACTATAAAACTAAAAACGTGTGTGTGTGTGTGTATATATATATATTATAAACCAATAAAATATGTGTGTATATGATATTGAGCTTAGAGTACTTAACACACATAATATAAAACATAAACTATTTACCCAAGCAATGATCTTGATCTTCAATAAGCTCTTCTTGTAACACACATAATATAAAACATAAACTATTTACCCAAGCAATGATCTTGATCTTCAATAAGCTCTTCTTGGTAAACTTACGGATGAAGCTTTTACCCAAGCAATGATCTTGATCTTCAATAAGCTCTTCTTGGTAAACTTACGGATGAAGCTTGAACTTGAATCTTGAATTTGAATTGTATTGCTTCACTCCACTATTCTGCCAACCTCCATTGGATTTGATTGTGAATGCTCGATTCCATCCGTCCTCCAACACATTGTTTGTCTACAATAAATAGAAAAATACAAACACTAGACAAACAACATTAGTTGTAAATTGTTTGTTAAACATCTTCAAAACAAAAATGCCAACAAGGTTTTCGTGCATATATGCATGTTTGTACTCATATATACTCATATACGTACTTAATCGATCTCAAATCGATTACTATTTTTATGGTAATTTACCATCTAAAGATGAAGATATCGAAAGATTGTCTGCATAGGCTTAAAAAGTCATGGTCCAAACCAGCTTAGAGGCCCAAAAGCCCAACCAAAGGCAAATCTATCGGCCAACCGGGCAGACAAGTCATCTTTCGATCAAGGTTCATCATTATCGACTCGAAGTGCGGGATCAACCGGTCCATCGTAATCAAGACGACTCCTCGAGCAGACGTCTCGACCATCCACTCGACCAGAAGCGCACTCGACTATCGGGTCAGCAAATCATAATGATGACTCACAGATCAACCCGCCTCGACTAAGGGGATAAGATCCAACTAAGCTCCTTTCAGATATCGATCAACACTACAGTATTGATCAGTCCCATCAAGATCTCTGCTCTGAAAAATCCCGTGCATATGCCGCTTATTCTACTCACAAGTCACTTCCCAGGGATCGCCATGATGCTCTCATGTGCTCGAATAACTTCCCTCCAGTCACCAGCCGCCATCTGGAGGGGGGAAGGACGACCAAACAGCTGGCCTATCCTCTGCCCTACCTCATCTGTCAAATACAGAATACTGAGAAGAAATTTCTCTACTGTACTCGAATGACTTCCTTTCTAATCACCAGCCGACATCTGGAAGGAGAAGGATGACTCAGCAGCCTGTCTACTCACCCCTCAATCGCCTCCTATGCATTGTCAAAGCCAAGGGTCAAACTCACAGAGGCGATGGGCTATAAAAGGAGGGAAAGAAGGTAAAAGAAGGGAGAGGATATTTCTACTACTTCTTCATAAAAGCTCTGAATTTACCTTTGCTAAAAAGAACTGATAACTCTCAAAGAGTACCCTCTAAGGACCTCAATGGCCCAGTGACTCTCCCTCAAACCCCACTCAAACTCACCAGCTGATTTGACCGTCGGAGGTACCACAGGGGAAATGAGCCCCGCCCTCCCACGGGTTTCTTCTTGTTTGTGCAGAAGGATTAGGAATTCCAATCTAAGGATCGGACATAAAGTCGGAGAAGTTAGCCCCATCTTTTATCCTCTCCCTATTCGCCGCCAGCGCGAAGACCAGAACTGTAACCCCCTAAATTGTGTGATATTAGACATCAACAGACATTGAGTTGTCTATGGCCACGCTATTGGCTGAGAAGCAGAAGAAGACGGAGTCTGTCAGTGATTTCATCAAGAGATTCAGAAATCGATCGTTGCATTCGCGTGATAAAGTTCTAAAGCTACTCTTGTGGAGATGTGTCGTAATAATCTTTCTATCAATATCTTGTCTAAGATGTGCGCTGTTGAAGCCCGTTCATGAAAAGATTTGGTTTAGCAGGGAGAGCAGGTAGAAAACATGCTCAAGAGGATGAATGCTGAAGAACCTCAGGAATCCCAACCTAAAAAGGGAGGGGGTAAAGCCAACTATAATTCCCAGAAACAATCAAAAGGGAAGGATACTCTAGCTGTTAAGACAGCACCATCCCCGAAGTCTTCTGCAAAACAGAAAGGAAATACTTTCGACAATCGTTTTCAGAAAAAGTATGATTTCAAAAATTAACATGTGGTTTTCATCCTTACATCTTTGATCAAAATGAAGAAGATCAAATTGCCAGAGGTGAAGCGGACTGAAGAAATGTCAAGGACCGATGATCCTAACTTTTGCATATACCACAGGATGGTGCGTCATCCAACCAAGGCTTGTTACATCTTGAAGGATAAAATCCAGACTTTGTTAGATGCAGGTGTGATGACACTTCAGGCCGAGCAGAAGAAGGTATCTGCAAATATGGTTTGGCTGTTGTTATAGGATGTCCCATGTTTCTTATAAATATGCTATCCTGAGAACAGACTTAGTCGAGCCGGCTTCATTCCCCAAAGACGACTCAAAATGCGGACTCAGTCGAGCAAAATATTGCTACTCAGTGATCAGCCGACACGTCCCCCGATGGCGACTCAAAACATTATTTCTCAGTATTATTTTACCATTTATGATCATCATTACGACTCCACGTCGCCCGCTGACAAGCCTCGACGGCTGCAGGATCCCCATACCACAGAAGTGACTCCACGTCACTCGCCAACAAGCCTCGACGGCCGCTGATTCCCCATGTCACTGAAGTGACCTGCCATCGCTCACCAATTGACACGTATCGGGCAGAGGGTGACTCAGCCTCCAGCTCACCCCTCGCCATCATCATAAACCACATTCTCACTAAATACCTATTCTGCCATTGGCATCCTCTATAAATACATACGCTATTCGTCATAAAAAAGTTGGATTTCCTTACTACCTGAAAACTCTCTAGACACATATTAGAAGAGCGCACCGTTCTTCCTTCACCTCACCCTAGTCCACCAGCTGACTTGACCGTCGGAGGCACTACGGGGGAAACAAGCCCTGTACTCCCACGATTCTTGTGTGTGCAGGTGATCCGTCCACCCCGAGCTCTGAGAACCAGACATAAAGTCGAAGAAGGAAAGCGGTCCCCTCTTGACAGTTCAACCTCTCGACGATCCAGCAACTCTGCGACTTCAACTGACTGTGATATCAGACATCAACAACTATCATACCCATTCACCTCAAAATAGTATCATTCATATTAAAAATTATTTATTACTATTTATCATAATATTTTTAAATTTACGGGGTTTTACATAATTCTAGATCTGGGATTAGAAAAATAAGCTCGACCCATTGTGACCTAGATGGGCTCGGGTCGGATACGACCCGGCCTTAAATCTGGTGTGCCGAGTCATGGGCCTGAACCGGCCCGGCCCGGCCCACGCCCACAACTACCTAACGGCGCCAATAAAATTTTCAAGGCGACAGGCCACTGTATACCCAATAAAGCAAAGAGAAGGAACGATGTGATACTGTCCAGTGTACTAAACCTGCTTACAATATCCGAACGACCATCTGCTACCATGATACCATCTGCTACAAGAAGGAACGGCCCTTGAATTCAGTAGTTTTCTTTTTCCAATAAAACCGAGTCCCAAGATATTCTAAAGCAAGGGAATGTTGCAGGAGTTAATTATTCAATGAATCAGTGCTTATATATATATATATATATATATATGCCAAAACTCCTGAAACAGATGCATTAAGGACGCTTGAAAGAAACAAAAAAAAAAAAAAACACCTGACCGTGGGCTCAGAGACGGTTAATTCTAGAATCTAGGATTTAGTGTACATATGTTTACTCTTTATCCTCACGGAAATTAAAGTTTATTAATTACGAATAAGGAAATCCTGATTAATATTAAAAGAAAGGCTGTCTACATTAAAGAAATTAGAGACAGGGTCATGTTTCATCATACGATCTGTAAGCTGTTTTATTCATGAAGGTTCAACGTTTTCTGAAAAACTAGGATTTATATCATACGAACAATGTTGTTGTTAATAATTATTATTATTTTGCTCATGAAGGTTCAGTAATATGTATAAAGATAGATAGGAATTTGAAGCCCACTAATAAAACTGGGTCAGAAGAAAGAAGCACCTAAAAAACAAAAGTAAAAGAACAAGTCAAAACAGCACAATCACCGATCGTCCAAAATTTGAAAAAGAAAAGAGCAGGAAGAAAAGAGGAGGGCGAGATACCTCTTGATACAAAGCCTGCTCAAACATTCATGATGAAACTTCCCTATTGAACCAATCATGAACTTCCTCCCTCCTCCTCCTCCTCCTCCTCTCCCCACTCTTAAATTCTCCCCTCGTCACCATCACCATCACCGCTATCACCGACATGGCTTTCCCTCTCCTCCTCCTCTCTCTCAACGTCGCCTCCCTCTTCTCATCGGCCCTCTCTCTCCCTCTCCAGTCCCTCGCTCTCCTCTCCCTCAAATCCTCCCTCAACGACCCCCTCAACTCCCTCTCCTCATGGTCGCCTGACCGCCACCTCTGCTCCTGGTCCGGCATCACGTGCTCCTCCTCCTCCTCCTCCTTCGTCACCTCCCTCGACCTCTCCGGTCAAAACCTCTCGGGCCCCATCCCTCCCGAGCTCCGCCTCCTATACCCCTCCCTCACCCTCCTCAACCTCAGCTCCAACTCCTTCTCCGGCGACCTCCCCTCCTCCCTCTTCGACCTCCGCCACCTCCGCCTCCTCGACATCAGCCACAACGACTTCAACTCTACCCTCCCCATTCCATCTCCAACCTCAACAAACCTCACTCACTTAAACGCCTACAGCAATAGTTTCGCTGGCCCCATTCCTCCGGTCTCTTCTCCAGCTTAATGATCTCCAGTATCGTCAACCTCGGCGGGAGCTATTTCACCGGCGCATTCCCGCCGCCAGCTTGGCGAGCTGTCAAGTTTGCGGTACCTTCACCTAGCTGGAAACTCGCTCTCTGGGAGGTTACCGGAGCAGATAGGTAATCTTACCGCTCTTAAGCATTTGGAGATTGGGTACAACGCGTATGACGGCGCATTGCCGCCGGTGATCGGGCGGTTGAGGTATCTGGAGTACCTCGATGTCTCATCGGCGAATCTCTCCGGTGAGATCCCAGCGACGTCCGGTGAGCTCACTGCTCTGGAATCCTTGTTCTTGTTCAAGAACAGACTCTCCGGTGAGATTCCGGTGGAGATCTGCAACCTGAAGAGTTTGAAGGTGATTGATCTCTCCGACAACAGAATCTCGGGTCCGATTCCTGAAGGGTTCTCGAACCTGACGAATCTCACGCTGATCAGCCTCATGAACAACGAGATCGCCGGCGAGATCCCGAGAGGGATCGGCGATCTTCCAGATCTCGAAGCTCTGCTCCTCTGGAACAACTCGCTGACTGGAAGTTTACCGCCAAGTTTGGGATCGAACTCCAAATTGGAGAAATTAGACGTGTCGTCCAATTCTTTAACCGGTCCAATCCCTAGAGATCTCTGCAGAGGCAACCGGCTCGTCCGGTTAATCCTCTTCTCGAACCGGTTCAACTCAACACTACCTCCCAATCTAGCTAACTGCTCCTCTTTATGGCGCGTGCGAATCGAATCGAACCGTATCTCCGGCGTGATTCCGACCGGATTCGGCCAGCTACCGAATCTAACCTTCATGGATCTCAGCGACAACAATTTCTCCGGCGGTCTACCTCCAGATCTCGGCGACGCTATACGACTCCAGCTTTTGAACGTATCGAAAAATCCTCTAAAAACCTCGCTGCCGAACTCTATCTGGAGGTCGAAAAGTCTTCAGATCTTTTCCGCGAGTTCCTGCGGATTGGTCGGAGAGATCCCCAGATTCGACGGCGGATGCGAGAATCTCTACAGGATCGAGATCGAAGACAACGAGTTGAGAGGCGAGATTCCGATCGACATCGGCGAGTGCCAGAAGCTTCTGACGCTGAAACTCGACCGGAACCGGCTCACCGGTCCGATTCCAGTCGAGATCTCGAATCTTCCGTCGATCACCGACGTGGATCTCTCGTTCAACGAGCTCAGCGGTCCGATCCCCTCGGAGTTCGGTAATTGCACCACGCTTGAGAATTTTAATGTTTCTTTCAATGAATTATTCGGCCGAGTTCCTTTCTCTACGGTTCTCAGCAATCTTCATCCGTCATCGTTCGCTGGGAATCGGGGGCTCTGTGGGCCGCCGGTGGGCTCCACGTGTCCCTCGGGCGTGAGGAAGACAGAAAGGCGGCCGGAGTCGGCGGAGATCGTTTGGATCGCCGTGATGGCAGTTGGAGTCGCGAGCAGTGATTGGATTTTAGGGATGGGTTCCACTGGTACTGTGTACAGAGCGGAGATGCCAGGTCAGCGTAGAAACGAGCTGCTGAAATTTGAAGTTTTGTCTAAATTTTGGCGGGGTTCCAAAAAATATTTAAAAATTAGTCTACGCGTATTTACTTTTTGTTTGGCGATTGCATTATCATGTTCTTAATTAGAAGCGTTTACTATTTAATTGATAACTGTGGTTGGTCTGGACTAAAATATTTATATTTTAGAATTAGATGGAAACTAAGAAAACTAATCATTACTATATTAATATACTGAATATAGATTACATCTAACCGCCGCTTAGGTCTACCGCTCAAAGCTCATCTTAGATTCTCTGCAGAAAGTCCTCCAAATTCTATTTAGATTCTTCTTTTATTCTTTTTCTTTTTTTGTTATTAACAAAAAAAACCGAGTATTCAAATAAATTTTTATCCGGAAGAAAATGAAATAATAAGATGTTTATGCACTGACTTAACATAAACACATTGAGCTTAATTTATCTGTTAACAAATTTTTATGTACCTGTTTATTTGCAATATATGTATGTTGATATTTTTCATTTTTCATTTTATATATAACAGGTGGTGAGATAATAGCGGTGAAGAAACTATGGGCACCCCAAAAGGAGCACAAACAAAAGAAACGCCCTGCAATTCTGGCAGAAGTGGAAGTCCTAGGCTCAGTAAAGCACCGCAACATAGTAAAATTGCTAGGCTACTGCAACAACAGAGACACCACAATGCTGCTCTATGAGTACATGCCGAACGGAAGCCTCGACGACCTCCTCCACCGCAAGAATCCGGCCAAGGGAGGGGGTAAGATGGCGGGAGACTGGGGGACGAGGTACAGGATAGCGGTGGGGGTCGCTGAGGGCGTAAGTTACCTGCACCATGACTGCGAGCCAGCGATTGTTCATAGGGATGTGAAGGGGAGTAATGTGTTGTTGGATGGGGAGATGGAGGCGAGGGTGGCAGATTTTGGGGTGGCTAAGTTGGTCGCTTCGGGCACAGAGAAGGCTATGTCTGTGGTTGCTGGATCCTATGGCTACATTGCTCCAGGTAAATTCTAACAAAGTTTTTATGTTATGTAAATTCTGAAAAGTTGAATAAAACATGTTTAAATCATGATTCGTGAATAAAACATGTTAAATCATGGTAAGGATTTACAAGTTCTTTTAAAAGTGTCACCTGTGTAACTTCAATCGTATAGTGACAACATATTGTATATTGTCGATGGCAGTCTATAAGAAAAATTATTATAAGTAAACAGATATATATTGAATGTATATACCAGGGTATTAATCTGTTAATTTTTGTTAATAAGAAAAATCTTTCCTCGACATATCTAGACGAATTTGAATCTCTCCATCATTGAAATGCAGTTGAAAGCGTCCTTTAATTTGCACTCATATATAGATAAATCATAATAATTCATTAAGCCGTTGACTGTTCTGGTTAGGTGCGGTGGTGTCTTCAATGCTTTTGATCCACCCTTGACATTGCTAATCTGATTTTGCTACCAATCCGTGATCACAGAGTATGCCTACACTCTTCGAGTGGACGAGAAGAGCGACATATACAGCTACGGCGTAGTCCTCCTAGAGATTGTCACCGGTCGACGAGCCGTCGAGGCAGAATTTGGGGAAGGAAAGAGCATCGTCGACTGGGTGAGAGAGAAAGCATCCAAAGGAGACAAAGGATCAGCACTGGAGTTGCTCGACCCCAACATCATCGGAGCAGTGGCGACGGGGTGCAAGGAGGTTAGAGAGGAGATGATGCTACTGCTAAGGGTGGCAATGCTTTGCACCAGCCGGAATCCAGCAGAGAGGCCGAGCATGAGGGACGTCCTGTCGATGCTTAGATCAGCGAAGCCGCAGAAGGAGAAGAAGGGAGCGGTAGGGGAGAAGAAGAAGAAGCAGGGTGATTAATTACTTGGTGGGATTTTTTTTTTCACCTTACTTTTCTCCCTGTAAAATCATTTGTTTTTTGTTTTTTGTTTTTTTTTTGCTTTTTTTAGTTCTTGATTGTTTTGTTGCATGTTGTCTTTTGCTGGTATATATAGTGTGGAATTGGTGTTATGAAGAATGGGCGCTAGACTCAATCGATGCTATCAGGTGAGGAATGGGTATTTGATGTTGTATATTACCTTCGTGTGAAACTTTACCCTATTAATTAAATTATTTGACTGAGCTTGTTATGGATTACTTGGATATTTTCATATTCAGATAGTCTTAAAGTCAAAGATCATGTATTCAACAAGCATATGCCAATACAGAGAGATTTCTACTTAACATGTAAATTTGAAATACCATAAATTTCAGGAGATTTTCTGTTCTTTTCTTTTTTTTCCTCGTGTATTTACTCACTAAAATTGTCATCGCTGTTTTCAAAATCCCGAAGGCCACAAATTTTTTTTGATTTATTTACATCTTTGACGTCCAAACACAAACTATCATTATTTACTTCGAAAATAAAATAAAAGGCCACCTTACAGCCTTAGGTTCTGAGCCTGATTCCTCATCCCACCCAATTATGCAGGAATTGGCTGCTAAGAGCTCCTGATCGTCAAAGAAGCAAGTTCTTAGTTATGGATCAACCCATACATGACAAACGACAGTACAAGATCAAATCCTAAAGCCATGTAGTTGGGTGATTTTAATTTTAAAAAGCACGAACTGAAATTTCCGCACACAATCACAAGCATGTAAACAAAGAGGAAGGCTTCTGGAACAAAATTCTAAATGCTTCAACAGAGCGGAACAGAATTCTCAATACTTCAACAGAGCGAAAGCCGTGTAGTTGGGTGATTTGGGTCATGTAAGAAGCTTCATAACAAGAAAAAGCAAGCAAATTGTTCCGGACATCAAGTAGCTTTCTGTAGTAACTGTAGAGGGATATCGCATTCAAAATAAGCACATACACATACCAAGGGGGGGAAATCATTTAACTCATTCAATCTGTCAACATTCATATTTCTTCAAAGGAACTGTATGGTATTTTCCTACAGAGGTTGCATTTCCAAAGTAGCACATCTCATTCATATTCGTCCCTTGCAGATTTGTGCGGGATTAACAGAAGTCATCGGCATAATAGCACAATCAGTGAAGCAACTCCTTATTTCTCCACGCTCTTGACAGGCAGCCCACCAATGTGAGCAGATATGCAGCGCACAAGGATCACAGAAGAGTTCTATGGGAAAAAAGAAAAATATTATTAGGGGAAAACTAATCAACACCGTGGCAAAGACATAACAATTGGATAGGTCAATTGCTAATACACCCTCTTTATATGAGGATCCTGTTGGCTCATATGCAAGCCGTGCGTGTGCACGGGGGTTTTGTTAAATAGGGTTGCTATCGTTTTTCGCTAAAAAACACAGAATATGGAGCGGAAAATATTAAAAAAAACAAGTAGCCAAGGACACATAACATTTTATAGTGGTTTAGATAACAATCTACGTCCACTCCTTTTTCTCACAAAGGGTTTCCTCTATTGCCAAGAATTCTCTTGAATCACAACCGGATTTAGTAGGCTTACAAAGACCGCATCTTGAAATCTACCTGAAACCAGTCGTCTAACCTAACTCTCCACAATAAGTAAACTCACATAACCCTAACTAGTCCCAACCCTAATTGACATGGACTTGATTACATCATAAAAATAAGTTTGAAACAAACCAACAAACACAATTTAAGCACAAAAATAAGAGAGCCCTTTTCGATTAACAAATTGTCCTTCAATGAATCAAAGTGAAGCTTTATGGATAATGGTGTAGATGATGAAATCAAGGGCTACTCTCCTTGCTGAGAAAATCCAAAGATATTGAACGTGACGAGCAAGAGATTATTGAGGCTCCAGTGGTCAAAACCTTCAATCCAATATCTTCCCTAATCTAAACCTAAAGTTCTCTCAGCTATCTATCTCTTTCAATCATATGTCGCCTTTAATCAACCAAAAAAGAGATATTCTAAACATGGTAGAAGTTAGAGATCAAAAGGAATAAAAATGGTTATGATTAAATTCTCAAATTTGTAATTAGCCGACTTTACCATCGATGTGTTCTGACGACCATTGATAGTATGAAGGTTAAAATTAGTGTTTATGTTCATTTTCATGTTGTTTCGCCTCTTACATGTCTTATTCATGTATTCAACTATGCTATATCATCTCAAATAAATATTAGTGATAACTAAGAGTTTGTTATTACTCAAACAAGAGTTATTATATGGATTACGTCCTAACAAGCTCTCCATTATGATAATAACAAACTTTAAATTTAAAATACCGAAATACATGCATTTTTGAGATATATAAATAGTAACAATAAACACAAATACACTTTCATGTAAAAACAAATGATATGCAAAGCTACCCCTACATAAATGCATTCTACAAAGTGTAATCAAGCACCAGTATTGTAAAACTCCCCCTAAAATAATGCATCAAATGTTTTAATTTTTTTTAAAAATCAAAAAACATGAACCACTTAAACAAAAGGCCAACTCATGCAAAGATCATCACAGTTTTAAATTAAAAAAAATCAAAAAACATGAAACCACTTAAACAAAAAAATCCACTCTTGCAAAGATCACCACAATTTCAAATTTCACACTAAAATTCTCCTCCTTTAGTTATTAGCAAAATATGAAAAACACACTAATGGTTTACACTTCTCACTTGAGAAATTTAGATAAAAAATTGTTCAAATGTGTAAGAGAAATACACACTGGTTCACACAAAAAAATTATAAAAAAATAACACAAGGTATTAAAAATCTAATCACAAAAATTTTGAATATGATAGAAGTCATATAAAAAATCACACACAAAATGATTAAATATCATTGTAAAGTATATGAAACAAATAATAAGAAGAATTATACTTGTTCATTGAACAAATTCATATATTAAAAAGAATATTGAGCAATAATAAGACTTGCACTATCTCAAACCTTTGAAAGTAAATGGTTGTTTGGTAACCCACCGAAACTAGACCGTGTTCAAACATGGCCCAGTTTTAACCTGTTTTCTATGTTTGAAAAGCTAAGCCAATTATGGCCCAGCTTTTTTTGGGTCATTTTGAGCCCCTTAAACCAGACTAGAATTGATCCACCACCATAGTTAGATTAACTCATGTCTAGTTAAGGGAGTATACATAACTGGCCTTGTTTTTGTTGAGCTTGCCAAACAAACCTAATGACCAAAGTGTCGCCCTATCACCTCAATCGTATAGGATTTAGGAGGAAGAACGATAACATTTGGCAGGTGGTTCACACTATCTCTAAATATAAAAAAATTCAGCACATGATGGCTATCTTTTGAGATATGCACAAACATAATCCACGAGCGTGGGCCTTTGACCATCTTTTAATAAATACACTCGTTTTTCCTTGGATTTCATAAAAGTATGGATCTTTTATCATCTTTTAATTAATACACTAAATATCTCTTGAAATAATGTGTCAAATAATCATATTATTATCAATATATATATATAAGTTTTTTTAAATTTTCAAAGAAAACAAAAAAGTAAGAAAGAGAAATTCTTGTTTTGTTTTTGATTAAAAAATAAAAAAATCTAAAAATAATCTTAAAAAGAACTAATATAGACCAAGTGTCTCAAACATCACCAATATAATATACTGTTAGACCCTAGAGGGGAGTGATTAGGGTCTTATGCTAATCTAATCCGATCATATGCCAATTAAAACTTATTAACAAATATATTCTTGCAAGATAGATATACAACTAATTATGAGCAAGAATATGCAATATGAATAAAGGAATATATCCTAGCAATGAGATATACTATGAGATATATATGGAAGGATATGAAACTAATACAAGGGTAAACAATTTGAAACTAGATAGTGGGCAAGCTAAATAATGAGACAATGGCAATATGAGCAATGAGCACAAATAAGAATAAACACCAAAGCACACTCAAACACAATCAAATGATTACGGAGTTCGGACTTTCCGTCCTACGTCTCCGCTCCCCACTCCCGGGGAGAAATCCACTATCACAACCGGGTTTTTTACGCTCACCCGAATAACGTTTATACTTCACAATGTCGGTTTTCAACGTTCACCGATCAACGATCACTCCTCACACTCGGTTTTCTAGTTCACTGAAAACTTTACAATCTCGACACACTCGGTTTTCTAGCTCACTAAAAACCTTACAATACTCATAATGTAATAAATATAAATTTGTTCTCTATAATAGATGAGAACACAATGAAAGCTCACTCTCAATTGTTACAACTCCCCACAACCCAAATTATACTATGAATGTAAATACAATAAGCTCAATGGTTGTGTGTGTAAGCAATGAGAAAATCAAAACAACTAAACTCAAATAAAATCTGGCATATAAAAATTATGAATAAAACAATAAATAGCTAGAAATAGAGTTTAGGAATTCTTCTCTGAAAAACAAGATGGAGAGATGGATTAAAAGGAAGCTCAAACAATGTAGATGATCTCCTCCACTTGTGAACTAACCAAAATAGCTTTAAACCAAACTTAAACCCCTGTTAAAACTCTTTTAAACTTGTTTAAAATATCCCATTGGTTGCTGAGATAGAAGGGGGTTTGGGGGTTTATATAGGAAGAGGAAGTAACAGCAAAAACCCCAAAGGAAACAACAAAAATCCCAGAAAATCAGGAATACGATTCTGTACAAAAATAGCCGTTCGAGTATACGGCGATCGACCGTGGAAAACTCGCGGTCGACCGCAAGCCAGCTTTGAAACTCAGAAAACTTCTAGATACTTTGGCGGTCGACCGTGGGAAAATTCGGGCTAACGGTCGACCGTGGCGGTCGACCGCGAAAGTTTCTGTTGGCTCCGCAGGCTAAAAACAAAAGCACGGTCGACCGTGAACTGATATATGAAATTATCAGGTTTGAAAATAGTTTGCTAATTTTAAAACACTGTTTAAAAATATCAAGTAAATTTAGAAAAATATAAAACTTTGGGAAATGATTGTAGACATGATAATACACATGCTACAAAAACTGGTTTTCTAAAAGGACCTCCCAAATGAGAAATATCATCATTTTACAAAATAGTCTAAAACATGAAAATGTGAACACATGAGTTTTGACATTTTTAGCTTAACCATGTTTTGAAACATTACAAAATGATTTTATAGACTTAAAGAAAGATATAAACTATTGTTATGAAGTCTATAAACAATGA